CTGAATTACATTCATTAGTAGTGAGAATATTTGTACCAATTTATTGTACCTGTGTTGTGTGGAGGTTTGGACATGAGGTGATGAAAATCCAGGGGGTGGTTTATGGGTCAAATTAATAATAATAATAATAATCCTTGCATTTGATATAGCGCTTTTCACGTCGGGAGGACGTCCCAAAGCGCTTCACAGAACACACTGTAATGTGAATTGACTGTATATTTGTGGGCGAACGCAGCAGCCAATTGTGCAAATTTAATAGTTGGAGGGGCTCCTCTTTGCCATCTTACTCTTCCGTTGATTTAATTGCTTTGTGATAGTGCGGGGGTGGGGGGTGCACTCAACCGACTGAGCAAGGCACACTTGATCTAGCTTTGGTGTTTAATCACATAACAAGCTTCCATATAACTTGTTGTTTTAAATCCATTCAGCATTTGAGGGGCTGAGCTCCTTCGTTTCCCCCCCACCTTCAGTCCCAGTCAATTCTGTGAATGTTCTGACACATCCTTCCAACAGGCACGATGTAAGTGTAAGATATTTGATAGTTAGCTGCCCCCATCTGTGTACCGCACGGCCTAATGAATTTGGACTGGGAAATTTATGCTTCATGTAACTGATGTAGCTTAAAGTACCATTCTGTGCGATACCCACCAAATGTAAGTTGTCATTGAGTTTGGTGCCTTCCAGTAGTTTCATAACAACAACAAATTACATTCGTATAGTACCTTTCATTTGGGAGGGCGTACCAAGGTGCTGGACAGTTCTGTAATATCTAATGTCCTGAAGAGTGCTTCTAGAAATGTGATAATCTGCACTTATTTATTAAGAAATCTTGACAGAAAGTTGATCTCCAACGAGCAAAGCAGTGAGACTGGATTAGTGAAGAACAACAGATAAAGGAGACACCAAATATAAACAAGATAAGCAAAATTTGGTGGAAGAAAAAGGAAAGTATTAGCGAGAAAATGATACAGAAAGATAATTAAAGAGAGTGAAAGAGAGAGAGTAATAGGCACAGAAAGGAAGAGGAGAGGAACTTTATTGTCTTTATTCTTTTATAGGAAGGAGAATTGTTCAATGTAATTTATGAGTAGCAACTATATGGGAAAGGTTTGTCAAATATTTTTGGTAAAGATTGTCCTTTTTTAAAGGAAGTTCAAAACAAGAGAGCACCAACTCTTGTGTATAATAGAGAATGTGATGGTGAGAGATGTGATATGCTGTGATGGCTTGGTGTTGGTCCAGTTTGTTGAGATAATCAAATCAAGAAAGTTTGCTGAATCAAATTCAAAGCAATCGCTTCATTGCTTGTGTGGCATTCACACCAGTTTGTTCAGTCAAACCGTGACACTGTTGCTCTGCAGTCCAGGGAATCAACAATCAACATTCATGGTATACACAGATCGTACATCTGACAAGTCTTTGCATGATCTGTTCCCACAAAATGACACTGTGGGAATTTCACCATTTACAGAAAAATAAACACATTGCACTTCTAAATAATAATTCAACAAAGTATTTCTGGCTGTTTCTTTAGAATATCTATGTCAGTTAAGAATGTTTTCAATGCTCCAGTTGATTTATCTTTGCAAGAAGCTCATGATAGGATGATTCAGCTTTAAATACGTTGAGTGGAGCTTTGATGTTCAGTCTTTTATCTTGGTCTAGTTCAGCAAAAGTAAACCCTTAAATGTAAGAGATCAGAATTCTCAATTGTAACAAACACATAAATAGATATATAAATGAAATGTGTCAATGGCTGGTCATACATTATGGATCTCATTCTGCTTTTTTGAAATTAAGCTATTCACCTATAAAATACAGTCACTATACTTCACAGTGTATCCTGTGAAGTGCTCTGAGACAACCTCTTGATGCGAAATATGCTGCATCAAATGCAAGTATTATGATTATTATTATTACTAATTGCAGTGGTTAACAAGGATTTGGCCATGAAACACAAAGCCTTTTGTTGGAGTGTTCCTTTAAAAATCCTTCAATGTGTCAACAATGTTTTTAAAACAAAATACAGACTGGAACCCAAAGGTGTTTGAGGAGAAGTTCCTGAATATCTAAATTTTTTTAATGCTATGATTTTTGGTTGTTTGGTCTCTGGTGTTCAGCTGCAAAAATGAAGATTAGCATCTGTGGGTGTGAAGGTTGCTGAGTAAATTCCTGCACTGATATCACTTGTGTGAAAGTTGAACATTCTGTATCTATAGCAACAACACTGAATGTCTTATTCGGATCCGAATGTCTTTTCTGGAGACCGACTGTTCACAGAATCCACCTGAAGCTCATCTGAAAGGGGGTTGTTGCAGATAGATGTTTAGGCTGGGCATTTCTGTCTTGAACAGGGGGAAAAAACTAGTTAATTCAGAAACGGTCACCTTGCTAAGCGGATTAGCATCACACTGACTGGCGGGAACTGTTCACCGATACAATTCCTTCCCATTATCTTCCAGGCATATCAGAGCAGAGTTCCAGTGGACTAGGTTGTCTCGTGTCCAGGTCTTGCACATCAGTATTTACAAATCCTTGAGATTCCCAATGCATCTCCCACATTTTAAACTCCAGTGGCAGTGTTTGTGTTCTTTC